CAAGGACGGGCACGGCCGTCTCCGCGCGCTACCCTCGGCGTCCTGGCGCGCGGAGGTCCTGCCCGGCTCCCTCCGGGGCAGCGCGCCCAGCTGCGTCCGCAGCGGAGACGGCAAAACCAGCAGTCCCGCCGGTTTGCGTTTCTCCATCCCTCCGCGGAAAAGCGTGCAGATCACCTGAGAGATGACTGTCTCAGCAGGAAAACGACACTTGAAACTTTCGTGGCCCAGACTCTGGTCCATCCAGACTTCCCGGTTTGTCTTTGGAGAAGTGTCTAGGTCCAGAAGCTACGTACCTGAACACACTTGGGGGAGACTTCGCATGATTTCCGAAGCTCGTTGCTCTCTGCGGGTCTTTATAAAACTTCTGAGCAGAAAGGACACGCTTCATCCACGCTTGTGTCCCCTCCGATCTTAATTCAAAAGTTAACAAAGGGTCCCCATCCTGAATGGACGATCGCACCCCCGAGCAGATTAATCTTTCAAAGCTGCCCAATTGCTGTAATTCACTCCTAGGTCAGCCAGTGTGGCTCTCGGGGAGCCAGGAATTGAGCAGGGCCCTTCCCAGGCAATTGCAGATCGGCTGGCCGGCGGAGAGAAAGTTTACTCTGGCTTTCTCCTTGAAAATCCAAACTTGACTGCCCTTTGTGGCTTCCGGCGTTCAGGTCTGATGGAAAGAGCTTTCAGGGTGTTTGCAAACATACCCCTGCTCTTTCATTTCTGGGGAGGTGGAGAAGAAGCACTCTTCAAAGGGAAGACTGCTCTCTTGCGGTTAGAAGATGTGTCAAGTTAAGAAGGACCTCCGGGGAAGCCCGGGGTTTTCTTCTGCGAAATCAAATCTTTCAAAAACCAAATTAGACACTTTTTGAAGGTAAGAACAAAATCTATATATTTTAGCATCGACTATAAGGATCTGTGATATTGTGTTCTAGCCTATGTTTAACGCGAGGCCCTTTATGTTTTTGTTGCTCTGTAAAAACACATCAAAAGCTCGAACAGTAACACACACTTTTAGCTAGTTATTTCTCAGGGTGCTTACTGTAAACACAGCTTTAGTCCTGCCTCCCAACCTCTTCTAATCCCACTCAGGATATAAGGATACCTTCCCATAGCACAAAGTATATTCCCCATTGTATTCATCTTTATTTCCTCCCTCGAGGACTGGAAAACAACATTTGAAAAGTAGAGAGCCCCAATTCTGAGGAGAAAGGATATGGCTTTGAAGGCTTGTCTTTTTAACACTGCCCCCCCCCACAAATGAATAATTAATCCATCTGTGCTGGTAAAGAGCTTTGAAGATGAAAGTGTCATTAAAAATCCAACTACACTGGTTAATGTCAAAGATTGTTATCACATGGAAAAATCAGATTTCCTGTTCTGCAAACAAACACATTAAAAGCACCTTCTACTTGAAAAGTCCAACTTAAAAACAAGAGATGCAAAAAACCCCCTAAATTTATAATCAGACCTCTGCCTCTTCTCTGGGAGCTGGGGTGTGGCACTAACATGTTTGTTTTTTGTTTTTGTTTTTGTTTTCAGAAGGAGTCTTTTGCTTCCATGTTTACTCTAAAGTTTAGAGTTTAAACGACCAGCCTGAAGCAACTGGAAAAACATTTGCATCAAGCCAAATAAAATAGAAATAATTATTCCGTTTAGGCATAAGTTAGTCACAATTAAAAAGGCGTGGTTCCCTATAGACTTATACTGGCAAACCACTCACCATGGCATCATGAGTTCTTGCGTCAACATTTTTTCATGAATTGAGAAAGCCTTCCTATTAGCAGATATGCCCCCTGCAGGGCGTGTAGACTCCAAGACCACAAGCTACTTTGGGCCCAGTCAAAGATTTTGACCTTCCTGCTAAGAGCGATAAGAAAAAAATGAGATCATTGAAAACAGGGACATGACTGAGATCTGTTTTTCTTTCTCAGGCTGACAGCAAGTAAAAAATCCCTGCAAGCCAAGTGTGGTGGTGCACACCTTAGCCAGTGGTGGTGTGCACCTTACCCCAGCACTGGGGAGACCGAGGCAGGCAGGCCTGTGTGAGTTCCAGGCCAGCCTGGTTTACATAACAAGTAACAAGCCAGCCAGGGCTGTATGGTGAGACCTTGTCTTAAGAAATAAAAAAATACGAAAACACATAAAGCTCGACTAAAAACTGGTGATGTTAAGGATTTGAGGGAGGGGTGGGAACATAAATCACGGAAGTGTTTGGGGGAAGGAATGATTATAGTCAACAGAATATTATCCAGAAATGCTGACAATTTTGTCCCACAGAAATAACAGTATCTCTGTAGGTTTATGTGTGCATACAGATCAATACTGGGCCATAGCATTTGTTGTGAGTTAAAAAAAAGAAAACAGGGCGCTGTGCCTGGTGCTGCACACCCATAATCCCAGCTACTTTGTGAAGCTTGGAAGGATGATTGTTCAAGGCCTGTATAAGGCTACTGTAGGTATGGTTTCAGGGCTGATCATGTGATATTGGATAACCAATCAGTGTGCTTGTCCCTATTTCTCCGGCTACCAGCATCCTCATTGTCTCTAGTTCTCTGTATAGGGTCGAGGTTTCTTGGGCTTTTCCCTGTCCACATTAACATCTCTATTGCTGTTTGTCCGTGTTCAGACCATGTTTAGACAGTTGTGTTGGTGAAACTTATGTATTTAGGAATATGTTTATAATACACATATATGTGTGTAACAACAATTAAAAAAGAGGCCATGAATCTGAAAGAGAACAAGGAACGGTATATGGGAGGGTTTGAAGGGAGGAAAGGGAAGGGGGGAAATGATATAATTATATTATAATCTCAAAAAATATTATTAGAAATTTAAAAATAAAATAAATCTTAAAATGAAAAGAAAGTTCAAGGCCTGCCTGGGCTGCAGAGTGAGTTCAAAGCCAATCTGGGCAGCTTGTGAGACTATGTCTCAAAAGAAAAAGTAAAAAGAGGTCTGTGGTTAGCCATAGGTTTCTCCCAAGGGAGTAGGGATGAGGGGGACACAAGACACAGCCTGAATACTCATCCATAAATAAAAGAGTAATACGTACATAGCTTTATACCATTAAAAATAATGAGTAATATATATATATGTACTTATAGAAATATAAAAAAATGTGTTAAGCAAAACCCAAGGTAGAAAATTGCAGACTAATGTTTGCAATGCAAACAAAACAATTTTACATGATTTGTACATTTACACATGCCTGGATTTGGAACAGGATCTCACTGTATAGCCCAGGCTGGCCTCAAATTCAAGCTCCTCCTGCCACACCCTTTTGAGTGCTGGAACAACAGGTGTGTGCCACCGTGACAAGTGACATGCGTGTCTTTATGTGTTTGTGCAGACATGGAGAATGAAGCGGAAAGATGTATACCAAATTATTGTCATTGGTTGCTTAGAAAGTATGTCACTGGGCGTAGAAGGGTGATCATTGTCCCTCAGCTATCTCTCTGTTTACTTATTACAAACTGCACACGCCTTATATCTTCAATCTAATGAGTTGTAAAATAACAAAAGGAAGTGTCCAGAACACCCAGATAATACACTCACTCGAGCCAGACCTACAGATTTATTATGAGCCCTCCAGGTTATTGGACCATGTTTCCTTATCAATTCTTTCTCTGAGGACTGTGGTATGGCTGTTCCCTGCGGGCTTGGCATGAGCGGCACCACCATGAAGCACGGAGACCGCCATGACACTAGGAGACCTTGGCCACTGTCGCGGCAGTGAAACACAAAGAGCGTGTATATCACTTGCCACGGGCTGGTAAGGGGGCAAGCAACCCTTCATGAAGAGGGAGAGAGTCCCGGAACACTCCTTTTAGATCCCATTACTGCTGTGAAAACGTAGGCAGGCATGACAGCACACACCTGCAATCACAGCACGTGGGCGGAAGGTACGGGAGGATGAGGAGTTAAAAGCCAGCCTTGGCTCTATAGCAAGTGTAAGGCTAGCCTAGGCTACATGGGATCCTGCCTCAAAGAAAAGAGGTAAAAAGCTGCCTTGGGGTCAGACTTTTCTAAGGTACAGTTGCTCACAAGTTGCCCATGTTCCCATAAGTAACACCAATTAACTTACTTATTTTCTAAGTAGGGTTTCTTTGGTCAGTCCACTCCTTCCCCATTTGAAGAGGATAGGTGTTTCTTTTATGTCACCTTAGGAAGCAGGGAGAAATGTGCACAGGATTTATAAACCTGTAACAAGAGCCATCAGATGCTAACTTTACCATCTGTTTGACCTGAAGTTTCTCTCCAACCTAAGAAGTCTCTCCTAAGGCTGGCTAGACAGATTTGCTACAGCACCCAGAACACCTGGAACTGATTTGTGTCTTCAGAATTGGATCTGTTTATCAAAGGGGGAAGGGAGCTCCCTAAAGTCCAACTCAGTAGATTTTAAGGTATTCCTAGGGACGAGGAAAATCTCACCCTCACAGCTCTCTTATCTGCTCAAAATGAGAGAGGGGAAGAGGATTTGGGTGGCTCGTCTTACAAAATAGTTCGTGCCTCATTACAGATTTGGGTTTCCTGGGCTGTGGCTTCTCGGGTATGCCTGTACTTCTGGGGTATACATGTACTTCTGGGGTATACATGTACTTCTGGCCCTGGGCCTAGGATTTGCGTCACGCATCACAAGGGATAAGAAGGATCGATCCATATATTATGATCTCTTGCCAGAATTATACTGGGATAATTAACTCAATCTCAAATTGATCATCTAACATAGCTCTATTCAATTAGCCCATCTCTATATAACTTAAATATTAAGTGTCTGTATCACTACGTGCTGCATCTACCAAGCACAACTGAACCTCTGGTCCGGTAAGAGTACCAATAACCACATTTGTCATCATTAGATTCACTTAGAAGAAGCTGAAGCCGAGACAGAGGATCATGAATTCCAGTCTGCCCTGGAGTATATAGAGAGACTGTGTTTTAAACCCCAAATCATTTGGGAAGATGTAAGTCGGGAGTGACGGCCTGGAGCAGGGCATGGTGCCATCTCAGAGTGTAGTAACAGGCTTGTCTTCTCTACCCATTAAAAAATTAAAAAGCAGGAAAAAGGGGTATCTGAAACCTCAGGGAGTCCCCATAGAGCCATCACATTATACTTGGAAATCAGGGTTCCCTCTCGGGGTTCTGAGTTTTGTTAATAGAAGAATTTAAGAATAGAATCAGCCAGAAACTTGAGGATAATTTTTCAGAGTTTAAGAGGAAAACACCAAGGCAGGCCAGCTGTCAATCTCCAGTTTCCTGGTAGAGAGAGAGAGGAGAAAAGGAGCAGAAGTCATGATGGTGCGGCAGGGAGGTCAGCCACATGGTGGCAGGCAGTCTATGCCGTTAGGACAGGAGACTTAGAAAGCAAGGAAACCCAAAACGTTAGTCAGGAAGTTTGAAGCATACTTAAAGATCTAGCCATCATCTGAAAGAAGGAGACAGAGGGAGGAAAGATGAATAGGTCTTTTGTATCAGGCTTCAGAAAGATGGCAAACATCTGAACCTGATGGCTCTGGTGGTAGGGGGATGCACTAAGGTGCTATGGACCGGCTCAAGGGAGCCACTCAGACTGTAAGGGAATCAGGGTGAAGGCACAGGAGAAATCAGAATACGGCGAGGAAAAGTGACACACAGACACTCTCAATGTTTTTGAGACATGCTGTTGCGATTTACTTACTTCAGTGCAGGATTATATATTATTACAAACAAAGAACTTGGCAAAGGCATACATCATCAGATCATAAAATAGAAAAGAACAGCATAAAA